GGTTTTGTTGTTGTTGTTTTTTGGTAGTGATTTCACGTTAAGATTAAATGTGCTTGCTTTTAAAGAGCTGTGTGATGCTTATAATTCCTGGAAGTTACAGCTGTTCCTAGCCTTCAAAGAAAAAGTCAAGTGCAGATGATGGCCTGTTCAGGCAGTCTGGTATACTGGGAATATTATGATATAGGCAAGGGTTTGTTCTCCTGGGGACAAAACCCATCAGGAGGAAGAGAGATGGATCCTCTCTGACCAAGAGAGGAAACTGTTAAAGAAATGGGAGCCCTCAGTGTGGACCCTGGAAGGGTAATAAAGATACAGTAGTACTACATTCTGACAATGAAGACTTTGGGATGTTTGGCACCTTGGTGAGAAGGAGTCTGACTTATGAGATAGAAAGAAGAGTTACATAATAGTCTGAGTACCTAGTCAAAGGTGAGAAGAATGATGAGTCTCCACGCTCTTGTATACTCCAAAAAGGGAAAGGCAAAGGTCAGTTTAGGCAGTTGTTATGCAAAAAGATTCAAGAGGGGTTTATCTTAAACAGCCTAAAGTAGAACCAATACACTGAAATTATGGGTTTCATTTTATTCCCCAGTAGAAATAGCGGACTTTCCTGAGAGCTTATTTCCTTCTGACATTCTCCTATTCAGAAATTGGGAGGAAGGGAGAAATCTTTTGAGTATTTCTGTTTCTACAACAAAGATTACACAGAAACATTCAGCTTTATGCCCTCAATAATTCAATTAGTTCTCTCGCCCCAAAAAAACTCTTTGTCCATTCCTGTACACAAACCATCCTTACATGACTCATCCTGACCAGAAAAACTTTTTTAACAGTTTTCCAAATTCAAAATGCATAAATCAGTTGCATCTATCAAAGAAACTTAGTCTTGGAATTCACAAATTTCCATAATTTTGGAGCTGTTACATTTGGCTGTAGTATTTACAGTGTTATGTCTGGCATTGCTCATGCTTTTTAAACCATGTCAACATTTTGTATAAAAATATGCAATATTGCTCTTCTCGGACAATGGGCAAATGTTCGAATTATAAAACGTTAAACATTTTTTGTGACTGTAATAGACATTAATAGGGCAGAAATCACTATAACTAATATGAGTCAACTCCTAAAACTCACAAGATATTTTATTCTAGCCAACATGTTTAATATTTTTAGCTAAGAAAATGCTATCTGAGCAATAAAACTTAAGAGGCAATGGTCTCAGAAAGTCCATCCTACGTGAAGAATTGTATTCTATTTTTCATATATTTATCTTACCATACTTGGAATACTTCTGGGCTGTGTCTAGACTGGCCAGTTTTCTCCAGAAAATCAGCCGCTTTTCTGGAAAAACTTGCCAGCTGTCTACAGTGGCCACTTGAATTTCCGCAAAAGCACTGACTTCCTACTGTAAGAAATCAGTGCTTTTTGTGGAAATACTATGCTGCTCCTGTTCGGGCAAAAGTCCCTTTTGCGCAAAACGTTTGCGCAAAAAGGCCAGTGTAGACAGCTGAGATTTGTTTTCTGCAAAAAAGCCCCGATCGCGAAAACGGCAATCGGGGCTTTTTTGTGTGTCTAGATTGGCCACAGATGCTTTTCCACAAAAAGTGCTTTTGCAGAAAAGCGTCCGTGCCAATCTAGATGCTCTGTTCCGAAAATGCTTTTAACGGAAAACTTTAAAAGCATTTCCGGAAAATCATGCCAGTCTAGACATAGCCCTGAAGAACACAGTTGCTAGCTGTGTTTCTATGTATGTCACACATGAGCACCGAACCAAGAATGAAGACAAAGCTGGGCCATACATATAAACCAGCTAGTGATAATTTTCAACATAATCTTTTTCATAAATATTATTTGAAGGGAATCAGAATTGGTCTACATATGAAGGGCATCATTAATCTCAAAAAGAAGATTTTCAAAAGCTCAAAGGGCAGTTGGATGCCAATGAGTGTTGAACTAGTTACTCCTGGGATGTGGCAGCACTTGCAGGTTTAAAGTGGTTTTCATCCTATAGAGTTGAGAGTTTTGTTCAATTGCTTTCGGTACCCCTCCTCCCCCCACACTATACAAATTGTTTCAATGTCATTGTGCGTACTCAACACTCAACAAATATCAATGGAAGTTGGGCACTTAATATACATATGTGTATTTGAAAAAAATCTGCCCCATAATTCAGGATTAAAAACATTGTCACAGCCAAAAATTACCTTGTGTACATCGTGTAGTGTAAAGAAGCTAAACTGAGTTCTCAAACTGAACTCTATCAAAAAGATTTTTTTTCTTGAAAGAATTGAATGACACACATATTAACCCTTACCTAACTCAAGAAAGTCCTTATTATTGCTGGGAAACAAACATACATGTCTCAGAGTTATGTTAGACCATATTTCCCATAACAGCAATGGAAATAGCTTTCGAACAACATGTACAAATTTGTTTAAACCAAGTTTAAACCAAGAAAAAAAAAGGTTTAAAGCATACAAGTTGTTGAGTTCACAATTAAACTATGCAAATGAAGGCCAAGATCCCAATACACTTTACAAAAGGGATATACAAAATATACACTGGGATCATTTAATCCTCCATGTAGCCACATGGTAAATATTAGGCAACACTCAACAACTTGACATAAAAGTTAGGAGCAGAAAGTGAAAAATAACATATCCAACTGAAACTGCACAGTGAATTTAGAAAAACAGGCAGAATGTCAGTATACAAGTTGGAATCTGGCCAGAGCAGTTAATGCTTCTATTCTTGTGCAAAGTGCCACGAAAGGACCTCATGTGGACCTTGGGTTTATGTCTCACTTGAAAGTTAGCATTCACCTTCTACAAGCATGGTGGACCTCGATACTACATTGTTGCCTCATTTTCTGAACTCTAAAGGAGGAGTGCCACATACTTAGTGACAGCCCCATTTCAAGAAGCACAAAAGCTTTTTTTTAGTGGTTTGCTGACCTAATTCTGGTTAGGCTGTGAAATATGACAATCAAAAACACAAGGCAGTAGTGGGAACATTGTATACATTGACAGACTTCATGGCCAAGTTGTGTAACAGCCTGTCATAAGCATCTAGAGAATCGACATGAATACCCACAACTAGTAGATATTTGTGGAATTACTTGTGCCCATTTATTTAAAATATGCCAGTGTTTCCAAGCCCAAACACGCATATCTGAATCTTGTTACTGATCAGTGGACTGTGAAATCTCAAAACAATAACTAAATGTTGAAGTTTTTTTTTAAAATGGTGAATCTGTTTTATTAAAGTTGCAACATTCTAATGTTGGGACAAGTTTGGAGTGTGGGAGATTATTCACCTGAATGTGGGAACAAGGAGAGAGAGGACATGTCTGTCTTTAAAGAGGGAGAACAATATTATATACCAGTGATCCTAACTTTGGTATCTGTACAGGTACTGGAGCAAATGATTAAGCAAAATATTTGTAAGCATGTAGAGGAGAATATAATTTTAGTAATAACTAACATGAATTTGTCAAGAACAACTTATGCCAAACCTGCCTTATTTTCTTCCTTTACGGGTTTACTGGCCTAGTTGATAGAGGAGAGCTGAAAATGTGATTTATATTGATTTTAGTAAGGCTTTTGACATAGTCCCACATAATATTCTCATAAGCAAACTTGGTAAATTTGAATTACATGAAATTATTAAAAGGTGAATGCACAACTATTTGAAAAAATAGTTATTAAAGACACAATAGTTATTTAAGTTTGCTATCAATCTTGGGGAACATATCTAGTAGGGAACTGCTCAGATCAGTCCTGGGTCCAGTACAATATTTTTAATTCATGACTCTCGGATAATGATATAAAATTACAATGATAAATTTGTTGATGACATCAAGGGCACATCTAAAGAGCAGGGTGAAAGCTGAAATAAGCTACGCAACTTGTGCTATATCAATTGCGTAGCTTAAGTTGAAATAGCTTATTTCAGCTTTTGCTGCTGTCTACATAGCAGCAGGAAAGCCTGAGTTAGAACACTCTTCCCCTGAATTTTCTTACTCCTCATAAAATGAGGGTTACAGGAATCAGAGAAAGATGTCCTCCAGCTCAACGTTATTGTGACATTATGTTGAAATAACTGTTTGTAGTGTAGACACAGACTATGTTATTTCAGAAGAACATCAGTTATTCTGAAATAGCACTGCTGAGTAGACACAGCCCTAGATGGTAGGTGTTGCTAGCATTTTGATGAACAAGATTAAAATTCAAAATGACCTTGGCAAATAAGAGAATTGATCTGAAATCAACAAGATGAAATTCAGTAAAGTACAAAATACTACACTTAGGAAAATAAATTAAATGGACAAATACACAATGGGGGATAACTAGGTAGGCAGTAGGTTTATAATAGATCATAAAATGAATAAGACAACAACATGATACAGTTGCAAAAAGATACATCAGAAACTTACTTGAACATCTGTTCATATCTGGAGCTCGGAGGCAGGAATTCAAGCATTCTCCATACTGCCTCATTCCTTCTCGTCGAAGAAAGAAAAACAATTTATGCTGGCATCTGATGCACCCATTATCCTTTGAGCAAGACAAACAGCCTTTGCAGATTGGGTTTGGTCCATAGTTAGCTGCAAAGTAAAACAATACATTTTAATAGTTTTGGGAATAGTTTTGCTGAAAAACACACACACAAATGTTGTTTATCTACTGCATCAATACTAGTAGTTTGGAAAGGATAAAACTTACAATTGTCTGAAGATTTTAACACATCTGCAATGGAAATGAAATATTTAATTTATACTGATTAAAAATACAATCTCCATTTTTATATTAGTGTGTGATGCTATTTGATAAACTTTCATTTCATTAATCTGGAGTGTATTATTTTACATACAACTGGAGAGCAAGAGAATTCAAATTAGTTGCAGTAGAGCAATTAAAATCATTGGATCACACTCTACATGCTCATGACAGCAGCAGCACACAGTAGAAGACTGGTATCCTGAAACAGACACACGCACACAGTTCTGCCTGCCGGATTTCTGTGAGTGTCATTTCCTCTTGAAATCTAGTTATAATGCCAAAGCATATTTTTTAAAGGACACTGATGCCAGAATTCTTAAGTGCATATAAATGACATGTGAAAAGGTTTCTATTGATTGAACAGGAGTAGTACAGATAATAGCAGTACAAGTTTTCCCCAATATCTGTTTTGCTTGAGGTGACCAACTCTTAGGGTACAAAGGTAGCATAGTTTCTATGTAGTCACTTCTTGGTCTCTCTGATGAAAATACCAACAATAGTTTCATTCATGGCCAACTGTGATGGATTTTTTAAATCATGAATATTTAAGAACATAAGAACAGTCACACTAGGTCAGAGCAAAAGTCCATCTAGGCCAGTATCCAAGGGTATGTCTAAACTACATGGCTCTGATCCCCATCTAGACTACCGCGCTGAGTCGACAATCAGCTGATCGGCACATCGTGGCGGCCATTTTGATGTAAATGAAGCTGCGATTATTTAAATCGTGGCTTCATTTCCCTTTGCCGTCCTGACTAATCTACATGGCTCCATTAATGGAGCCATGTAGTTTAGACATACACCTATATTCCAACAGTGGCCAATGCCAGGTGCACCACTGGGAATGAAAAAAACAGGTCAACAACAAGGGAACCATCCCCTGTTGCCCATTCCCAGCTTCAGGGAGACAGAGGCTAGGGACACCATCCCTGCCCATTGTTGCTAATAGCCACTGATGCACTATCCTCCATTAATTTATCCAGTTCTTTATTGAATCTGTAGTAGTCTTGGCCTTCACAACATTCTCTGGCAAAGAGGTTGATTATGGATTTTGTGAAGAAGTACTTCCTCTTTTTTATTTTAAACCCACTGCCTATTATTTTCTTTTGATGACCCCTAGTTTTCCCCTTATGAGAAAGAGTAAATAACATTTCCTTATTCACATTTTCCTCACCTGTCATGGTTTCATAGACCTCTTTCATATTCCCCTCCAAGATGCCTCTTTCCAAACTGAAAGTCTCAATTTTATTAATCTCTCCGACTAAGGAAGCTGTTCCTTACCCTTAATCATTTTTGTTGTCCTTTCTCTGTATCTTTTCCAGTTCTAATATATTCATTTGAAATGGGGTAACAAGAATTGCACACAATATTTATGGATGTGGGCCTACTATATAGCAACTTTATTAAGTTTTCTGTCATGTTATCTGTCCCGTTGCTAATGCTTTTCTAACATTCTTTGAGCTTTTTTTTTTTTTTTTTTGACTGCTGCTGCTTATTGAATAGATCTTTTCAGAACAATATTTACCATGACTTTCAGATCTCATTCTTGACTGGTAACAGCTAATTTAGACACCATCATTTAATACGTATAGTTAGGATTATGTTTTTCAATATGCATTATTTTGCAACTTCATCTGCTATTTTACTGACCCAGTGTAACTCTGACAGGCGGAACCAAACCTGGAGCTTGGTGCATGAGCCTCTATAGCATGAGCTAAAAGCCAGCTGGCTCTCAGCTAAGGCAGTAGAGCAGACTCATTATTCTCTCTGCAAGTATTCTCAGTGTCACTAGCTAGGACAATACACTACACCCAGAAGGTGTGTAATTTACATTCACACAGTTTTGTAAAGTCCCTTTGTAAGTCTTTTTAATCTGCTTTGGATTTAACTATCTTGAGTAGTTTTGTACCATCTGTACATTTTGCCATCTCACTGTTACTACTTTTCCCTGATCATTTATAAATATGCTAGATGATTTACTCAGCATTGCTCAGGTCCTTAATTCAATTTTTGTGTTTTTTGGATAATAAAATAAATGCGTATACTTCATTTAAATCATTACTCTGGGGAGGGGCTGGAGATGAGTGGTTCAGTATGCAGGTTTCCTTGGAGAGAGAGGATTACACCAGTCCTCTCTCATCACAGCAGCTTCAGACCAGGTAAGAAGTATCTCTCCATGGCCGCTGCAGTTCTAGCTGGCATAGCCAGAGAAGGGGTACATATCCCTCGGCTTGGGCAGGTTCAGATTTGTCTGCCTCCTGCACTCCCCAGTCAGAGGGCATTTTCCCCTTGCTCCCTGCTGAAGGGAAACAGCTAGCAATGTTCCTATACAGATCAGGAGGGGGGAAACGTCAGCACCCATCCCTCTCCAGGTCTCACAATCAAACTCTTAATTTGCTTTAAGTTATAAGAAAAAGCTGTATACTGATTTGGTGGTCCTACCTCTTACTATTTTGGAAGAGTTCTTGAACAAACGGACAGAAGACACAGAGATTGATATATAGTAGATTGAATAGGACTGGTCCCAGTACGGACCCATGGGAGACACAATCATTGACCTCTCTTCATTCTGGAAACTGACCATTTATTCCTACCATGTCAAAGGCTTTCTGAAAAATCTAAGTTCTATACATCCACTGGATCCCCCTCATTGACATACTTGTTAACCCTTTCCAAGAACTGAGGAATGGTGAGGCATGGCTTCCGTTCATAAAAACCAAGTTGACTCTTCCTCAACAATTCACGTTCATCTATGTGTCTAATAATTCTATTCTTTCCTATAGTTTCCTATAGTTCTTATAGTTAGCCTGGTTACTAAGTTAAACTTACCAATCTGTAATTGCCTCTGGTGTCTTTTATAAAATTAGCATCACAATAACTATCCTCCCATCATCTGGTACAAAGGATGATTTAAATGATAGGTTACAAACCAGAGTTAATAGTTCTGCAATGTCGCATTTCAGTTCCTTCATAGTTCTTGGGTGAATGCCATCTAGTCTTGGTGACTTATTACTGTTTAATTTATCAACTTATTCCAAAGCCTCCTCTAATGACAACTCAATCTGGGACAGTTCCTCAGATTTTTTCACTTAAAAAAAAAAGGCTCAAGTTGAATAATCATCCTTCAGGGTATGTCTACACTAGCTCATTAGTTCGTAGGCAAATGAGGGCAACCAGAGTTACAAATGAAGCACGGGATTTAAATATCCCGGGCTTCATTTGCATGTTCCCGGGAGCCGCCATTTTTAAATCCCCCTTAGTCCGAACTCCGTGCCCGCGGCTACATGCAGCACGGAATAGGTAGTTCGAATTAGAGATCCGATTCCATGGGCACGGAGTTCGGACTAAGGGGGATTTAAAAATGGCGGCTCCCGGGAACATGCAAATGAAGCCCAGGATATTTAAATCCCAGGCTTCATTTGCAACTCTGGTTTCCCTCATTTGCCTACCTAGCTCGAACTAACGAGCTAGTATAGACATACCCTCACTGACCAATTTAAAGAACTGATTAAGTTTCTTCACAGTGACTTATCCCTCTTAAGTGGTTCTTTAGCATCTGTATCGTCCAATGGCTCACAGGTTGTTTAGCAGGCTCCCTGCTTCTGAAGTACTTTAGAAAAAGTTTGCTGTTACTGTATGAATTTTTGGCTAGCCATTTTTCAAATTATTTTTGACCTTCTAATTATTTCTCAGAGTGGGCTGAAACCAATTTATCTGCACATGGGCCAGCAAACAACTTTCAGAGAGTAACAATTCTAGGGCACTACCAACTGCTGTGTCTTCAACAGATTTATGTTCTTTTCTCTACAATAAAAATGACAATGCAATAAATCTTGTAATTCAGTTCCTGCCTTACTGCCAAAAGAAGGCATCATCTGACCAAGTGGATGTCTACGTCTTCTTGTTCTCAGTCTCCACTCCTTACACATATTAAAAGTGACTCTGAAAAGCCTTTATTTCACTATTCCTACCTCCATGCCTGCTTTCATCACTCTGCCTCTCTCCAGCTGCACAAAAAACACCACCCTCTGTCACATTATTTCCCATGCACTGATTTAACACAGCAGGTTAACAAAGGAAGGATGGCTTGAAAGGCTTCTGAAATGAGAATGTCATGAAAAGTCTGTTTTAAATATTAACTTGGCCACAGGACTTAACTGAAATTTGCCAGTTCAAAACTGACTTACTGAAAACAGAGAGAAACATTAGGCAAAAGAAGGAAAAGGTTTCTGGGGTGTTAAAAGTTTTTCACCACAGCAGACTGTGATGGCAAGTTGCCAGGAGCATGAGGGTTACATTAAATTGGCATATTTTTAAAAAACGAAATATACACATACAGCCATAATGTGTGCAGGTACTTCTATCCTATAAGAAGGATTAATAGGGGTTGTTCAGTAGTGGACTTCACCATTCAATGAAAAAAACCAACAGTCCTGGAACCGTGATGAATTTTACTCTCACCCTCTCACACCACATTCCTCCTTTCCTATCTTCTACCCTTCCCCACAACTTCTAAATAGCACCAGACAAAACCACAACACTCCACTTTGATGTTGTACCCAGAAGCAAGAAGGCAACAGGAAGAGGATTTGGTCATTTAACTAGGAGAGAAGGGGATCTAGTGGAAAGGAGAGAAGACAAAAAACCCCAAGACCTGGTTGGTTCCCTTTCAAGAGTGATTCTGGACTGGGCAAGTCAACTCTCTGTACTCCTATTTTCTCACTTCACAGGAATGCTGTAACGCTTAGTTCATTGGCAATTGTAAACTACATTGAGATCATCAGATGGGAGAGATGAACTGCTTGTTACCACCTAAATCAATAATGATCAAACTAGTCCATAAGCT